TTCATCAAACCACGGTTTGTTATTCTTATTTTCCTTTTTTCCTAGACACGAGTTACCGACCGCTTTAATATTATCTCTGATCTCTATCCATAACTTGTCAATATCCTCGTGGTCCTCGTCAGGAAGCTCTAAAGCTTCAAACCTATTCTTAACATCTAGCTCGAATTGGTTTCTAATTGATGGATTTTTTAATTTTTCCAAATTAAAATTCTCAAAATCGAAACGGTTTTCTTTTCTCTTTTTTATATTAAGTTTTTGTCGAAGTTTCGCGATTACTAATTCATGATCCGACCCACATTCTGCTCCGCGATAAGACCGTACATTAATTATACTACTTTGCCAGCTGTGTTGTATCAAGACATGATCGATTTGATTTCGTGTTTGCGAATCCGGTGATGTCCAAGTATATTTATGAATATCCTTATGTTTAAACGTCGTACTTTTAATTATCAGGTTTTTCGAGATGGCAAAGTTTATCAGACGGATCCCATTATCATTACTATATTCGTGCAAACTTTCTTTACCAATCGTCGGAATATAAACTTCTTCCCTTCCTACCTTTGCGTTCGCGTCACCTACAATTATTTTCATGTAGTTTCGTGGTAGTTTATCATAAACCCATTCGAGTTTATCGTAAAATTCACTTTTGACTTCATCGTCACTGTCTTCGGTCGGACAATGTATGTTTATTAATGCGATTTTAAACCAACGTCCCTGAAATGTAGCTACCGAAATTCTATCACTAAAGAATTGTACGTCCCTCAAAGCGGATAGTAATCTACGCCTAATTAGAAACCCGGTACCTAAACAATGATTCTCGCTTCCTCCGTACCAAATAGTGTACTTCCCTTCCCTCATCGCGCCCTCCCCTGGCCAGCGAACCTCTTGCAGAGCCACGACATCCAAATTGTACCCATTTACCTCATTCGCGACCGATTTTAGCCCCCCTGCTGTGTTTAAACTCCTTACGTTCCACGTACCAATATTTAAATCACTATATTTCAACTTGCACCATGAATCCCCTAAAGCAGTCCCCACCCGGAGACCCGAACGGGGGACTAGTTTACCTCCGGATAATGAGCGTTTTACCTTAGGGAGATCCATGACTATTTGTGGTGTTTGGTGAACTAAAGATATGTGAGTAGGGCGTTCAATCCTACGTCACACCCTCCAGCAAGTCTGGTGGGCCCCTACCTCCAGCAAGTCTGGAGGTCCCCCTCCAGCAGTCTGGAGGTCCCCTCCCTCCAGCAAGTCTGGAGGGCCCCTCTCATTGTTGGTCAGCGAGTCCATCGAACTTAGCCGGGAGGAACTTCCAAGAAATTTCCACCGACCATCCCCACATCCGCCACCCGTGGGACGCTCCCCATACGCGGTAATGAGCCCGCGCGAGGATTTTATTCTTATTTATTGTATATATATTATTTTTCTGTATAATTTATTTTATTTATTGTAATTAGAGTGTGAATGTGATCTGTGAACACTATTATAAATGTCCTGGAGACAGATTGTAATATTTTTCAATAAATAAGCTTAAAAAAAAATTTTTGATTTCTACCTATGAATAGTTTCTCTTCATGTTGTACATGCCATGTTACCAATGTCACATTTACTTGTTGTATTTTCCATGTAATACAGTTGTAAATTTCATTAAAAAAAAAATCCTGACAGCGTATTTTATACCACCAGTAATGGAAATTTGGGTTTTAGGGTCGACATATTTTGGTTTATTATTTTCAATAATAAACCATTGCGATCAACCAAAAAATTAAAAAAACTAACCCCTTCTCAAAATTTGAGGTTTTACGTTTCAGGATACGTAGAATTCGAAAAACGAATAACAATTTTTTTGTCCGTCCGTTGTCCGCGCATTTTCTACTGGACCGATTTTTTTCAAATTTGGATATAAAATCAGAGCTCACCCGAGGATGATCCTCCTTTATCGATATTGCTATCCACCTTTAACTTTCCAAATGATGGCCGAAAAACCTGAGTTGCTATAGACTGTAGCGCCAAAACGAATATACCGATTTCAATGAGACTTCGCTAAAGTAATTTTCTCGACACCCTTCAAATTTATCTATATAACATACCTCAACGAAAAGAAGCTGGAAAAAAGTTACGACGGATGGTAAAATTAAATTTCGAATAACTCAAAAAGTTTACACTTTTTTGTTGATATTGTATATGTTTTTTTAAAAGTTTACGGAATTTCCTAAAAAAAAAATTCATTAAAATCGGAGAATTAGGAGGAAATATATGTAAATCCTTTGTTTTGTTTTTTGAATTTTGAATGTGTTACTTAGGTAATGCTATTTTTTTTTAGCATATTACTAATGATTAAAAAAAAAAGTTTAGTACATTAAGTGTTGACAGTATGTCCAACTCCAATTTCAACATTCTTTATTATAATTTTTAGTGGCAAAATTTATACCTTTATTTACCTTAAATTACACAGATCTAACTTTTGAGAGAGTTCGATAATTCAATAAAGGTTAAAAAAAGAATACTGCATATCCAGGTGAAAAATGAATCTCCGGGTATAATCAGAAGGTATACGTATAATATATAGTTGGAAAGAGGAAAATTAAAAAAAAAAAATATCAGATAAAGAAAGTTGTAGAAGGTAACAGAGAGGACAAAAAAATATTAAAATAATAATTTCAGAAAACTAACATTATTTAACATAAATTACATGTTTTCAAGGAAATTAAATGAAATTTTCTTACTAAATTTAAACTTATAATTTTTTTTTTAAGTTGAGAAAAAAATATTTAAAATCCACCGAATCAAGTCAATGCCATTGTTTAAAGTACTATTTCATTGTACTTGTGTGAAAGAAGAAGTTCTACAATTCAATATCATTTATAAGTTAAATATTTAGATATACAATACTTTCAAATCTATCTAGGCATATATGAGCCTTTCGGTTGACAGAATGACTAACTCCAATTTTAAGATTGTTTATTATTAATTTTAGTGATGTTTCTAGTGGCAAAATGTGCATTGCAATCACCTACTCCGGAATCAAGTTACTCACTGTCTTTATAGATATAACTTTTCTGACTAAAAATATCGCTAAAATGACATTACTCGAAAATGTTGAAATTGGAGTTAGTCATTCTGTCAACTGAAAGGCTCATACCTGAAGTTGTGTGGTTTATAAAAGCAGATGGAGTAACTACATTTTTTATTAGCAACCGACGATATAATAAATAGAGTATTTGTAATTTAAATGGTCTCTAACTTAAATGCACAGTTCAGAATGAAAATCGGACATGACTATCTGCAAAGCCATCTATACCGTATTGTCGAATCAGCAACATGTCCAATGTTTCGCCAAGGATTCATGACTGCTCTGCATCTACTGGCTTGACCCGGACTACTTACTGGGCTGCAAGACGCCGCATGGCCGAAAGAGCTCAAGACGATCAAGGCATATGATAGAAAAAAAAAGATTAAATGGTCTTAATTATTTGTTATCTGTAAGCTTTAAACTTAAGCTGCGTTTAAAATTCTCTTCAAAAATGTTATAATAGCTCATCATTGCCAGAAAATAAATTCTATCCAAAGTAGAGCGGTAGATAGAAAGTTGTGAGTTGCACGTACCAGATTTGTTACATATCCACACATCCACACATATATTATTACAGTAAGGCTCGAAATCGGTACCAAATGTAAGCTCCTGTCATGCTCAAATACCATGAATGGGGTAAATGAATGGATTCAGAATTTCACGGGGGGTTAGCGAATCTTTTTCTCCACTTTTGTTTTTCTTTATAAAATAAATAAAGTCAATACAAACATTTTGCTAGGCTTCGATACTGGAACGGTGGTACGTCTGTAGATCGATACTGGATTAGGCTTTGAAGATTTTACACCGAAATCCGGATAGTCCCCTCCGGAACAATCGGATCCTGCGTTTTTAAGCCGAAAAACGTACTATTTTCGAGATAACGCAAGGCATAGGGTTCGCATCCACACAACCTTACATTAATTGTAGTACTGTCATTGAATACATGTCTCATTTCGTCGAATAGAGGTCTCTATGATCGAGAGAGGAGGAGTTTATATTATTTATCGAAGGAGTATTTGATCGGTAAGCCATATCATCGTTAATTTTTCACCTAATCTCAAGATCCAGCCACCAATTTCGAAGGCTTCCTTCTCAGGCGGGTAAAATAGTCCAATCACCCAGAAAAATTTGCGAATAACTAAACAATTACACACTTTTATAACAGTTTTATAACACACTTATATAAAAGAGTACTAAATTCCTTATAAAAGGGAAAAAAAATCATCGAAATCGGACAATTTTTCGCAAAGATACAGCTTACTGAAATTTGTAAACATGTTGGTTCCTACCAAAAATGAAGAATTAAATTAATTTTTGTTTTTCTTTGTCGATCATTTTATCGATAAACTAACAATTGATGTCTTCATCTTTTGATACGTTGCATTATTTTTTTTTCTTATTAATTTGGCATATTGATAACAATATGTTGTGCGAATTTTTCACACTGGCCTACTAGTAGTAACTAAAATTGTCTAGAATTAGTCACTATCTTGCCATAATTATTAATATCAAAAACTTTTGATTTTTTGTTTTGGAACAGTCTAGGTCTTCGTCGTGCAACAATAGCCGTTATTGGCCAAGATCTACTTCGGGAAACACTAATCGATAGTTTTCGTGATTATGTTTTAAAATGTGAATACTTGTGTATATCAATACGACATTTTCTATTCAATCCAGCACTTCGAACGCTATAATTCACTAAAATAATTTCTATTCAAAGGAGAGCGTAAGTGAAAGTTGTGTGTTGTGCGCACAAGATGTTTTTGATTTTTTTCGGCGTTTAACAGGGAAGGATGGGCATCCTTGTTAATAGATATAAGAATTAATAATATAAGAAAATAAGTTATGATATGTTCACGGCCTTCCCCACTATCACATCAAAAGATTATTCACTTCCTGCGGACGAGTATTTTCGATAGGAAATGTATACATATATATATATATACGACTGGAATAAATTCTTAACACAACTACTCTAGAATCGACTACTCAATTCTCAACATGTCTTTTCGCATCTTGGCTCTTACCACGTCTCTCTCTCTCAACTGTATCCTCTCTTATCTCTACTACCTCGTTCTCACTGTAAGTACATTTATAGTCTAAAGTATATAGTGCAATTATGTAATGAAAAATATATTATGTATATTGAGTGTAAACTATTATTGATATTATTACTAATTCCGGGCTAGTTCCATTTCCCTGCTCCAGGAAGGCAGTTTCAAGATCACCTAGAGTATTGAAAATAACCGAGTATTGACAATCCTGTTTACATCCGACATGATTTACAAGTTACGGTTAGGTTAAGTTATATTAACGCTTTTCTAATCAAGGAAAAAGAAGAAAGGTGGCCTACAAATATATTGGGCTATTTGGCGTGACCTCCAGTCCCACCATTTTAAAGTGCCGAATAACCCAATATTATCGTAGACCACCTTTTTTTCTCGAGTTTTTGACCATATTTTCTTATGATTCAACTGGAAAGTCAATGGGTTCATGAATAGTTAGTACCTCGTTATATTAATTCATCTATTGAGAAAACGCACTTAGCTCAGTCAAATCAGTACAAAGAAAAGAGTCTACCTTACAAAAGGTTGGGTAATTCAAATTTCTTTTTTATATTTATATATATAGTTAGGTATGAAGTGAATTAAACAATTGTATAATCAAAAAATTATACATCTAAAGTAAAAGGTGCATTACTTCAGTAACACATTCAAAATATAAAAACTAAAACAAAGGATATAACATTTGGCGTAGATCATCCAAAAAAAAACAAAAAAAAACAAACGGAAATCCTTTCTTTGCTCCTAATTGTCCAATTTTAACGATTTTTTTTTTGTTTTTAGGAAATTTCGTAAACTTTTAAAAACCATACTATAAAAAAAAAAAAAAAAAAAAAAACTAGATAAATTGGCTAAAAAACTAGATAAATCTTTGCTCCTAATTGTCCGATTTTAACGATTTTTTTTTACGAGGAAATTCCGTAAACTTTTAAAAAACAATGTACAAAATCCACAAAAAAAATTTGAACTTTTTGAGTTATTCGGAATTTAATTTTTCCATCCTTCGTAACTTTTTTTTCCATCTTATTTTCGTTGAAGTATGTTGTTATATAGATAAATTAAAAGGGGGTCGAGAAAATGACTTTAGCGAAGTTTCATTGAAATCGTTAAATTCGTTTAGGCGCTACAGTCAATAACAACGCTGGTTTTTCAAGTAAATGTGGCAGGATTTTGAAAATAAAAGGCGGATAGTAATGTCAATGAAGGAGGATCATCCTCGGGTGACCTCTGATTTTAAATCCAAATTTGAAAAAAATCGGTGCAGTAGTTTCGGAGAAAATGCGCGAACGGCGGACGGACAAAATTTTTTATTCGGTTTTCGAATTCTACCTATCCTTAAACGTGTAATCTCAAATTTTGAGAGGGAGTTAAGTTTTTTAATTTTTTGGTCGATCACAATGGTTGATTATTGAAAATAATAAACCAAAATCTAAGTTTACGCCCTTGCAAGGTTTGTGGATTCGCTGGAGTGCTCCAAAAATTATAGAATTTTCGAACTTTGTTTGGCTTACGCTACATATCTCCTGCGTAGATATAAAAATGGTTATATTAAATCTTAAACAGCTTAAAATCATCATACGTTTTTGTAAATAATATTTTTTTCTACACCAAACAGAAAGCGAACTAGCGAGCTTTCAAAATGGGTACAGTTTTGAAAATTCGCAAAAAACAGAATAATGTTATGTTTTTAACAAATTATTTGTATTTATAGGTGACTAGGTGATGTACCCGTCGTTGAAGGCCAAATTCAATTTTATAAAATTGGGTCGGAGGTGAGGAGGGGGGTTGTTTTGAATTTTTTTACTTATGGAAGTCAAGGTTTCGCAATAGTCATAACAAAAACTTTGTTATTCGGCTATTTTCTTAAGTATCACACAACTAAACTGACCACCACCGATCCAATAAAATTTGTTAAGTGTTTAATTCTCATTTATGATGAAGCTAGGTGATTGTGGAATCGATTAATTAATCAAAAAGAGTTGTAGTTTCTCCACTTCTTTAAACTCTGCTGACAAAATAACCAAAATAACATTGGACATTGAGTCACTTGCATCCGTCTAAAATTAGAACTTGATCTGAATATTGTGAATTTTTTTTTTCCCTGGTTTTCTGCTAATCCGTTAATCCTGAAAATGTATACGACAAAACATTTGTTAGGCTCAGAAAGTTGAATTGAATGATACTTTGAACGGGAAAATCGGACAAAGTCGAAAAATGAGTGTGGTTTACCTGTTTCATGGGACAATGCGTTACAGATGATCGGTATTCCAGATTTTTCCCGTTGAGTTGTGATAATTCTTTCCATCAGTTGAATAGTACAACTATTAAATGTGGCTCACGATAGAGTAGGTTGGGATGGTAATCAAAGTAATTAATTGCCTAACCGGGATCTCTAGACAAATTACTCAAGAATTCATAACTTTGGTTCTAGTTCTACTCAATATTTTGTTTTCATTTAAAGCCAACATTTTAAGTCAAGCAAGCCTAATTACAACGTCAACATTTCAAAAGTCTTCAATAAGCCATTGCTGATCTTACGCCTGACAAAATTTCCTTGGAGAATGCGGACATCCAGACAGACAAACAATTTTTTGTGACAAAGAGTGGATTTGGTGTCTGCAATGTATAAAACGGAAAGATATCATGAAACGGGTTGGTTCTATTCAACGTACAGACAAAACCTTTATTTTACTTACATAGATATTCTTTAACCTATAAACATCTGTTTATTATAAACATTTATTATCAACATTAACCGAGATATATAGACAAATTACTCTAGAATTCATAACATTGGTTATACTCAATATTTTATTTTTATTTAAAGCCTATGTTTTAAGTCAAGCGAACCTTAATATAATGTCAAAATTTCAAAAGTCTGCAATAAGTCATTGCTGAGCTTACCCCTGACAAAATTTCGTTGCAATGCGGACAGACAGACAAAAAATGTTTTAAAAGTGGATTTGGTGCCTGCAATGTATGAAACGGAAAGATATCATAAAACGGTTTGATTCTATTCAATGTAGAGACAAAAACTTTATTTAATTTATATAGATATAGCTCAAATGTTTAAATTAAATATTTAAGTACATATAATTTACAACAGTTTTTATAGGAAACATATTTTTCTAAACCTAACAACATAAATACAAATCGTTAAATTAAATTGATGTTTTGAAATTCGAAAAAAAATCTTAAAATTTAATTTTTACTGTTTTGCACTTATTTTAATGGAATTGGTCATCACAAAGTCCGTTTTTCTTTTTTCTTTTTATGACATATTTATGCTACATCATTCAGCACTCATCTATATAAATAAAATAAAGATTTTGTCGGTACATTGAATAGAATCAACCCGCTTCATGACATCTTTCCGTTTCATACATTGCAGACACCAAATCCACTTTTAAAATTTTTTTTGTCTGTCTGTATGTCCGCATTGATACGAAATTTTGTCAGGGGTGTGCTCAGCAATGGCTTATTGTAGACTTTTGAAATTTTGACATTACATAGGTTTGCTTGACTTAAAATATCGGCTTTAAACGAAAACAAAATATTGAGTAGAACCAGAGTTATGAATTCTTGAGTAATTTGTCAAGAGATCCCGGTTAGGCAGTTGCTTTGATTCTCATCCGAACCTACTCTATCGTGAGCCACATTTAAAAGTTGCACTATTCAACTGATAATTTAACAAAATTATTACAACTCGACGGGAAAAATCCGGAATACCGATCATCTGTAACACATTGCCCCATAAAACGGGTGAAACACTAAAATTTTTCAACTTTGTCCGATCTTCTCGTTCAAGGTGCCATTCAATTCAACTTCCCGAGCCTAACAAATGTCGTATGCATTTTTAGGATTAACCAAACGGATTTGCCGGAAATCAGGAAAAAAAACTCAGCACACAGTAGAGTTTAAAGAAGTGGAGAGACTACAACTCTTTTTGATTAATTAATCGATTCCACAATCACCTCGGTTCATCATAAATGAAAATTAAACACTTAAAAATTTTTAATGGATCGGTGGTGGTCGGTTTAGTTGTGTGGTACTTTTAAAAAAATAGCCGAATAACAAAGTTTTTGTTACGACTATTGCGAAACCTCGACTTCCATAAGCGCTGCCATAAAAAATTTCAAAACACCCTCCGAGGAATGGGATATTAAGGTCATGATGTAGGGTTTGGTTGGTTACATAGAACGGAGCATCGACTATTGTTCGAAGGACTTTGGACTGAAAGGATTGGATGCGTTTGATGTTAGAAAATGTTGCTGTCCCCCACAGATCCAGTCCGTATGTCCATATAGGTTTCAGTATTGTCTTGTAGATCAGTAGTTTGTTGTCAATTGAAAGTTGAGATTTTCTGTTCAGTAGTCTATATAGCTGGCCATATCGTCGGTCGAGTTCTTGTCTTTTGAGTCTTGTATGTGGGTTCCATGTCAGTCTTCGGTCTAAGAGGAAACCAAGATACCAGACTGTGTCTGAGTAAGGAAGCTGGATGTAATTAAAGTGTACTGGTGAACAGGAATTGCGTCGGAGAGTAAAGGAAATATGTTTGCATTTCGAATCATTCACTTTAATGCGCCATTCATTGCGCCAGCGCTTAATAAGGGAGCGGTGCCTTTGTAGATTTAGGACTGCTATTTGAGGATCTGAGTTGGATAATAGGATTGCGGTGGCATCAGAAAATGTTGCAAGGAAGGTATCGGAATGAGCAGAGATATCAGCGATAAAGAGGATGTAAAGCACGGGACCCAAGACACTGCCCTGGGGAACACCGGCTTTAATTGGATAAATATCGGAAAATGCCGTTCCGCAGCGTACTTGAAAGGAGCGGTCAGAGAGATAGGATCCAAAGATTAGGTATAAGGGCTGAGGGAGATGTATTTTAAGCTTGTAGAACAGCCCGGGGTGCCATACTCGGTCGAAAGCCTGTACTATGTCCAGAAATGCACCCGAACCGTATTGCTTGTTTTCTAGGGCTGCTGAAATATGATCAACGACTCCAAGTCTTTGTTGAACAGTGGAATGTTTTGAGCGAAAATCAAACTGATGGGAAGGAAGATTTTGGTATTCTATATGTGGTAGGAGTCGTTTCAAAAGGATCTTTTCAAAGATTTTTGAAAGGATTGGGAGTAGGTGTTTACCTGGTTTTGGAAAAAGGATAATGGTGAAGTGTTTCCATAATAGAGGAAAGTGGGTGGTACGTAGTATGCAATTGTAGATATATGTAAGGAAGCAGGAAAGGATCCACTCTCAGAAAGTTCATCCCCACTGTCCAAGACAGACCTAAGGCTACTTGGGTCCGCCCTGATTATTGGGTCTCGCAGATTATCACAGGACATGGTGGGTCCGGGGAAAGCTGGCTGACCATGGGAAGGACATCGACCCCCGGTGGCCTCCCTGCGGAGTTCCTCAGAGGGCGAGACACATCCTGGTATCCTGCGCCGCAATGGAGGGACGCCGTGCCAAACTTTTGAAGGAAACGGGGCTGCATAGCCTAAGAGAACAGGATATTTCCCGCCTAGTGGAGGAAGAAAATTACCCGCTCTTTAGGGAGTTTGTGTACGGGTGGAGAGACACAATCGGCCCTGCACATTTCTCCCCAGAGGAGGACGAAGAAGAAGACTAAGAAAGGACCGGACGGATGCAGTGCGGACAAGGTGCGGCCCCATCATAAAAGTGCACAATCGTGTACCGGGCCGCACCACAGTTTATCCAATTGTTGTTATGTTAAATAAATTAAAATTTCCAAAAGAATTTTGTAAAAATGATAAATAAAATGTTGATTATTAGCAACAGTGGTTATACGATAACCCAAACGTATTGACCCACTGCTGCCAAAAACCCGTATGGCAACAATGCCAGGTAGGACGGAAAAAAAAGATATATGTAAGGAATATCAGCTTTGGATGGAAGTTGTCGAAGGTAAGGAGATCATATCCAAGAGATTTACGCGGGATTAGCTTTTGTAATTGAAATTTCACTTCGGAAGGATGAGTTGCTTTAGGAGGCAAGGAAAGTGGGATAGGTGGTGTAAGGAATTATTCTACTGTTACGGTGTGGACAGGATAGGGAATAAATGTATTGGAGAGGTATTTGACGAACTCTTCTTGGTGAGGATTTAGGATTTTCGTTGTGGTGTTCCAAAGAGAATTGTCACTAACAGAGAGGGAAGATTGGTAGGAGTTAAAGGAATGTGATCTGAAGGTGGCTAATTCCAGTTTTAATTTTTTACAGTAATAATTATTCCTACGGTCGGCAGGATTTCAAGTACGTTGCCAAAATAGTCTGGTACGGCGTTTGGTGTGAATTAGGTCAAGGAGGTGTTGGGTTAGAATGGTCTCTTTAGGAATTTTGGAGGAGTCTTTTGTGAAGGAGGCAGTCCAGGCGGCTTGTTGGATTGTAAAGGAATTTACGGCACTAGGTCATCGGGAGTTTAAGGATATATTGAGATCAATTTTATCGGAGAGGATTAGGCGGAAAAGGTTCCATTAACGGGACCCCTAATAAATGACGGTGGAGAAGGTTTGGGAACGGGTTCAAGTGAAACATTAAGAATTAAAGGACTAAGGTCTGATGAAAGTTCAGTTATATGTGTAATGGAACAATGGATGGGACTTAAGCCGCTGTGGACAAAGAAATCAAGAAGATCAGGATTACGGTTGGGATCTGTGGGCCAGTAGGTAGGAGAGTTGGGAGAAAGGAGGTGAAAACGTTGGGAATTGAGTGCAGACAGCAGGGTTCGGCCATGAGAATTCGTGGTTCTGGAACCCCATTGTTGGTGCTTGGCATTTAGGTCTGCACCCAAGATGAAGTGATGTCCTAAGGAGTCGAGGAGAGAACTGAATTGGGCATTGGATATGGATCGGTTAGGAGGGCAATAAGCTGACGAGAGGGTAACCGGAAAGGAGAAGGTTTTTATTACGATAGCGGTGGACTGTAGGAAATCGTGTGTAGGTAATGGGAGTAGGTGATGGGAGAGGGATTAGTGTACAATGACAGCAGTACCGGCATGTGCTCTTCCGTCAGGGTGGTCATTACGATATGTCAGGTATTGCGGTGTTTTGAAGTGCTGTTTAGTGGTTAGTCGAGTTTCAGTAATTAGTGCCACGTCAATGTTCTTGTCAAGTAATAATGCAGATAGTTTGTCTGTATGATTTCTTACACCATTTGCATTCCAAAGGAGAATGGATATGGGTTTTGGGATGTGAGTCATTTAAGGATTTTTTTAAGGAAGATGAGGTGAAATACGAGATTTGTGAGGAGTGATATGAGTGGAGTAACAAGGGATTTGAAATCGGTGAGGAAAGATGCTAACAAACTAGTAAGATCTGTTGTATTTGAAGGAGGAGGAATATGATGAATTTATTGTTGGTGGTTATGATGATAATATAGCTTATGTTGAAGAGGATTTTGAGGTTGTGGTTGAGGTTGTTTTTGCTGCAGGACTTGACATTTTTCGGTTAAATTCTTACCTCCAAGTAGTTCGGAGTATGATATATTATTATTAACAATTCTAGAAGGTTCTCTTCTTGGTCTGGTTGTCTCATCTTGAATCCGGTTCTTCTGGTATCTGGATTTGAGGTTCTTATAAGTTTGGCAGCCTTTGTAGTTGGCCGGGTGTCCCTCTAGGCATAGGGCACAAACTGCAGGATCTTGTATAGGTTTGGTGCACTCTATTGATTTGTGTTGTTCACCACATTTTACGCAAAGCGGCAAGTGGTGGCAATAAATCCACGCCATACGCCTGGCACTGCACGATTTCCCTCTTGGGGTATGACTTCTCTATCTTCAAGATAGTGTAGTACAGTCTCTGGGTTCACGAAAGTGGAACTTTATTTCTTACTCCCGGCTGCTCCTTATTCTCCTTCAGAACGTTGGTTATCTGACGTACTTTGAAACCAAGCGTCGTTAGTTTTTCTTTGATCACTTCATTTAGGGTTGAGGAGTGTAAATTTCGTATCACCACTCGTAGCGATCTCTCCTGTCTTAGCTGGTACGTATGGAAATTTCCATTCGTTTCTGACAGGTACTTCACAATTTTTTGGTAGATTTCTGTAGTATCTGGCGTTATTTTTGTATCATTCGCCCTGTTTAGGCAAGAATAACTGCCGGAGCAGATTTCGTTTAGTTGTGTACACAATAGCTTGAAATTTTTACAAATATCGGAGTAGGCCTTGGTTCCCTGGGTATTGCTGCTGACTCCATTACTTCTCTGTCATTATGAAGCACTTGGAACGGGTTTGGAGTAAAGAAAGGGGATTCTTCAATGATTTCTTGCGAAGAGGTACCTGATGTTGAGGTTGAGGTTCTGGTTCTGAACTGTTCACTTTTGTTGTTGGAGATGTTTCTCGTAGGCAGCGACGAGTTCTTTGTCCGGCTGGACTAAATCCGTCTGACCGAGTCCTCTTGGGAACCTTACTGGACATCACTTGGTGACTACACCACATACAATAACAGAATAAAGAACGAAAGAAAGAAAAAAAAAATCAAACAGACGTATCAACTACTCTGATGTACACGTGAAATGTATTCAATGAAAAATAGGCAAAATACTGAGAGACCAGTTGAGAGCACAACCTTCCAATCAGCTGATCCACTGCCTTCAACGATGATATAAAGGTGATATTAAAAATCACTCACTTATACAATGATACACCGAGTTTAATCAAAATCTTTTGAGCCGTTTTTTAGAAAATTGTAAAAATGTGTTTAACCGTTGGTATAAAGTGGCACTTCCGGATAGTCCATTTTAAGAAAAAAGTTGCTGTGACATCTAAGACATATACCTATCTTAAATATGTAATATCAGTTTCCTACGACTTTTCGTTTTTGAGCTAGACTGTTCACATACACACAGAGACCATTTTGCGGGACTATGTTATTTGGACACAGTGGTTCTCAAAACATGTATTTCCGTTGAAAACTCAGATTCGAAAATTTTCACGATTGCAATACTTTCACTTACCTATATATATTATATATATATAGGTAAGTGAAAGTGACATATGTTTAGGTAGTTATTTTTCCCCTAGATCCGCTAGTGCTGTAAATAATATTGAACATATATTTCGACATATTGCGCATTTATACTTAAACAAATTTATTTATCAATGTTAAGTAGAGAAATTGCATTTTTTCAGGAAAATGCCTTATGTGTAAAACAAATGCAATATTGTGCTACTCTTGCACAAAGTTCAAATGGGACTTTGAAGTCAGGTGTAGTTACTTCAACCGAAAGATTGATCGAAGTCATCGCATCATCACTGTCTGAGCTGACAGAAGAAGTTACACCTCAGGTATTTATACAAAGGTTTTTTAATCAAAATATAAAATATTCGCGCTTCCCCTAGATCCGTTAGTGCTGTAAATAATATTGAAATTATATTAGTATTGCGCATATATATATATATATATATATATATATATATATATATATATATATATATATATATATATATATATATAAATGCATCCATCATTATATATATATATGTGTGTGTGTGTGTGTGGCACGACATCCCGTTACCGAGACTGGGACTCCTCCTAGAGCCTCCGCCAGTTGGCTCTGTCTTCTGCTGCAGCTCTCCAGTTCCGTACGCCAAGCAGGGTTCTCGCATCATAGGCCACGTTGCCCAACCATCTCGTCCTCGGCCTTCCTACCCGTCTTGCGAGGTGCAGCTCCTCCATCATTATTTTCTTGGGTATTTCAACGGTGCTCATTCTGGCCACATGCCCTGCCCACCTTAGTCTGGCCAGTTTAATATACGTAACTACGTCGATGTCTGTATAAAGAGAACTGAGCTCCCTATTTTTTCTTTTCCTCCAGACATCACCCTCCTTTACTGGACCATAAATCCTTCTGAGGACTCCTCTCTCGAACACACTCAACTTCATCTCATCACCTTTCGTCATCGTCCAAGCGTCTGAGCCGTATGTCAAAACAGGCCGAACAAGGGTCTTGTATAGAATCAGCTTGGTCTTCTTTGCGAGATACCTACTTCTTAAGTGTCGGCCAAGTCCAAAGACACATCTATTGGCAGCCGTGATCCTTCTTTGTATTTCTTGAGCCATGTCATGTTTGCTATTAATTTCAGACCCAAGGTATATAAAACTTTTTACTCTTTCAAAGTTAAAAGAGCCTACCCCAAATGGAGAGTTCAGATCCACCTCACCACCAACTCTCATATACTTAGTTTTCCTCTGGTTGACTTCTAGATCAAGTCGTGTTGCAGCTGTTTCAAGGGCTATAAACGTTTCTCTGAGAGCCCGTTCAGACCTTCCTATTATGTCAATATCATCAGCAAAGCCAAGAAGCTGTGCCAAGCGATTGAAGATTATATCGCTGGTCTGAATATCGGAATCACTTACAGCTTTCTCCTCTGCCAAGTTGAATAATAGACAGGGGAGGGCATCCCCTTGCCGAACCCCACTGCTCACTTCAAACTCTTCTGAGTCATCAGAACCGACGCGTATTCTACATTTCGAGCTGTCCATGGTCATGTTGATTAAGCGTATAAGCTTCTGAGGGATACTTAGCTCCTCCAACGCACAGTATAGTTGTGTTCTATCAACGCTGTCGTATGCTGCTTTAAAGTCTAGGAATAAATGGTGGGTAACTACCTTACGCTCCATAGTCTTTTCTTTGCGCATTTATACTTAAACTAATCAATTTATTCATGTTAAATAGAGCAATTATATTTTATGCCAGGATACTGCTTCAAATGCCAACCAAATGCAATCTGGTGCCGCTCTTGAAACTTCAAACGGGACTAATATTGATGTTGATGTTGGTACTTCAACTGAAGGATTTAGCGAAGTTGCAGGTGATACAACTGAATTCATGGCATCATCACTGTCTGAGCTGACAGAGGAAGTCACACCCCAGGTATTTACATAAAGATTTCTTAATCAAAATATTTCATTTAGATTTCATACATTTTTACTTTCACTTATTATTATATAATATTTAATATATAGTAAGGATAAGTATTGCGATATTTCAAGGGAAATATATGTTTTGAGGTACCCTGAGTCCAAATAACCAAGTCCCGAAAAATGATCTGTGTGACTGTGCATGTGAACAGGATATTAGAAGATTGTGATAGGGGGATAACTAGTATTGCCCAAAATTGGTCTTGGTCTTGCACTTTTGCAAAAAAACGTTTCCAAAAAAATTGTTGTAAGACCAAGACCAGACCCTCCAAGTCTTGCAGTTAGGTCAAATTGAGATTATTTTCAGATACAATACGGTGCTTGATCGTTTTAATCATCCAATCTAAACAGCGATGTACAAAGAAAAGGGCTAGAATTAGCTGAAAGGGAGCCACTCCCGTCATTGACACAAGTTCCATTCACCAGCCAATTTGTTGTTCACTGTGATCATCTTCAGAATGTTTCTAAGGATACAACACCAATTTACGAACCAAAGGCTATAACCCTAGAAACCATCGGAAAACGATTTTCAGAGACAGAATGGCTCCATGTATATACAGATGGTTCTGCACTGGAAGCACGCAAACATGCCGGAGCTGGAGTTTATTCAAAGGAGTTTCAACTTGCCGCCCCGGTCGGAAAGGTAGCCACAAACTTTGAAGGGGAAGTGAAAGCCATTCTCTTAGGCCTTGAGATGTTAACTGAACGGGAAGACAAGAAAGTGGCTTTCTTTGTTGACTCACAGGCAGCCATTTTGTCCCTAAAAATGGATATAGTATAAATCCAAATGTTCCTAAATGCCATCAATATTTGAACCGATTAAAGGAAAATGGGACAGAAGTCGCTTTCCAGTGGATACCAGGCCATTGCGGGCTCCACGGAAATGATGAAGCTGATAAACTGGCCAGAATAGGTTCTGGAATGATCCAACCCGATATTCCTCTGGCCATGGATTCAACAAAAAGAATCATAAAGCAGACCCTCCAAAGTTCACTGAAAGAGAAATATGTACAAACAATTGAAGGGAAACGATGGAGTGGATTGCTGGAAGAAAGTGGCAGGATTCCTAGAGACCTCCCTAGAGGGCAAGCAGTGGCATGCTTTAGAATGCTCACAGGCCACGATTTCCTTCAGAAGCACCTCCACCGCATCGGTGTAAAAGATAGCCCGACATGCCCTCTATGTTCCTTAGACATAATGACAGGAGAACATCTTGATACATGCCCTGCATTACAGGACATAAGATGTTGCTTTAATGAAATGGACAGCCCTTATGCTCGGAGAGCAAAATTGTATTGGACTGCAAGAGCACGCATGGCTGATCAAGCTTAGGCGTAGGGAAAAAAAAAACAGCGATGTTTTATCTTGTGGAATTGTATAGCATTATTTGATTTTTAGCTTTATTATATATGAGTATAGCTTTCCAAATAATAATAAAAAAATATTCTTTTTTTTCTGTTCTCCCTCTACCTCGCCTCTTAGGTTATACGGGGGATTTTCACGTGGCAAGTTGGGTGGGCGATGGATAAAAGACCTCCCTAGACAGTGCGGCGCAAACTCATAATTATTTTATTGTCTCCCACTTCGGTTATCAGGTTGCCTAAAGATATCATACAGTCCTGTATCAGATAAACCCATAGTTAATATTTTATTCGCAAATGTATCGCCATAAAATTTTGTACAAAAATGATTGGCATTAATTTACTTTCGATGTTTTCAGATGGAGAATGGTAGAATGGAGATCTTCCCTGAGCAGCTCAGTCGGGACGATCATCTGATGTACCAAGATGATTGCAGTTCAGAACAACGTATTTTTCTAGTGCGAGATATTGTCATAGGTAGTTATCAACATTTTATCTATACACCCAGAACTACCGAAGAAGACAAGGAACATGCCGATGATGCTGAAATACACACTGCATTGCGAACAGGGATTTTTAATATAGCTAAAACAGTTGTCACAGACACAGCCGATGTTAATATAAAAGGATTAGGTGGTCAGACACCTCTACATCTGGCCGCTTGGAGGGGAGACGAATCTCTTGTGAATTTGTTGTTATCAAAAAATGCAAATGTAAACGTTTTGGACGATTGCGATGACACTCCCACTCATTATGCAGCACGAGGAGGACATCTGAATATAGTTAAGGTACTTCTCAATCATGGCGCTAATGTCAATATTAGAGGTAGCTTTGGCATGACACCGCTGTTCATTGCTGTAGGTTTCGGCTATGAATCTATAGTAAATTTGATGTTGTCAAAGAACGCAAGTGTGGATATAATGGATGATATTGGTATCTCCCCTTTGCTTTTAGCGGTGTATAAATATAACTCAAACATAGCCACTGCTCTTATTCATAACGGAGCTAACCCTGATTTCCAGAGAAATGGCGGAGTGACACTATTAATGGATGCTGTTTGGAGATGTAATGAAGTTGTGGTAAATTTTTTGTTGTCAAATAATGCGAGTGTGAATATGAAAGACTGGGATGGTTTGACTGCCTTGCATAAAGCAGCTAAAAATATACAAGAATGGGGTGGTATTATCGTCTTGGATAAAGCAACATATACACAGAACATAAACGTAGTCAAAGCCCTCCTCAATAACGGAGCTAACCCGGATATCCAGGACAATGGAGGTGAAACTCCTTTGATGATCGCATCTTGGAACGGTGATGAAGTTATGGTAAATTTATTGCTGTCGAAGAATGCAAGTGTGGATATAAAAGACTGGAGAGGGATAACTGCCTTGCATGAATCAATATTTAGAAAGAACATAAACATAGCCGAAACTCTTCTCGATCACGGAGCTAACATCAATAACAAGAAATATAATGGAGAGACACCTTTGTTGGCCGCTGTTTGGAATGGCGATGAGGCTATGGTAAATTTATTGCTGTCAAAGAATGCAAGTGTGGATATAATGAATGATGAAGGTATATCTCCTTTACATTGGGCAATATATAAAAAGAACACGAACATAGCCAAAGCTCTTATCAATAACGGAGCTGACGTCAACATCAACAAATATAATGGAGAGACACCTTTGATGGCCGCAGCTTTGAATGGTGATGAAACTATGGTGGATTTATTGTTGTCAAAGAATGCAAGTGTGGTGTTTAAGAGCTGGAATGGCCCCTCTTCCATTTATACAGTAGAAGCCAAAGAGGACATAAACTTTGCCAAATATTTTTTTAATAAAGTAGCTGAGGTCTATAGCAAGAGATATGAAGGAATGGCACCTTTGATACAAGCTGTTTCGAATAATGACGAATCTGCGGTGAATTTATTGCTGTCAAAGAATGTCAGTGTGGGTATAATGAATAATGGCCTTTCTCCCTTGCATATAGCAATATTTAAAAAGAACATCAACATAACCAAAGCTCTTCTTAATTACGGAGCTAACATCAATATCATGGATAATATCGGAAAAATTACACCTTTGATGGCCGCTGTTTGGAATACTGATGAAGCTATGGTAAATTTACTATTGTCAAATAATGCAAGTGTGAATATACAGGCGGACAAAAGTTATACTGCCCTAGATTTAGCAATGATTCTAAATAATATAAATTTAGCCAAAGTTCTTCTCAATGGCGGAGCGAACGCCAATATCAAGAACGCTATTTTTATTGGCAATGAAGCTATGGTAAATTTATTACTATCGAAGAATGCAAGTGTGGATATTAATAACGAAAATGGTTATAATGCCTTGCATTTAGCAATATCTAAAAAGAGTATAAACATAACCAAAGCTCTTATCAATAAAGGAGCAAACGTCAATATCGTTGGGTATAATGGAGAGACACCTTTGAAGACAGCTGTTTGGAATGATGATGAAGCTATGGTAAATTTATTGCTTTCAAAAAATGCAAGTATGGACATAAAGGACAGGAATCATAATACTGCCTTGCATTTAGCAATAACGAAAAGGAACATAAACATAGCCAAAACTCTTCTAGATAAAGGAGGCAACATCAATAGCCATGGAGATGACGGAATGACACCTTTGATGAAAGCTGTTTTGAGTGCTGAAGAAGCTATGGTGAATTTACTTATTTCAAGTAATGCTTCTTTAGAAATAAGAGACAATTTCGGTAATGGAGCAATACACTTTGCAGCTTGGGATGGAAACATTGAAGTTCTTAAGTTGCTTCTTGATCATGGTGCAAATGTCAATAGCAAAGGAGAAAATGGTAAAACACCTCTACATTTTGCAGTTCGGAAGGACGATAAAAAATTCAGGAAAGCTTTATTTAAAGAACTAAAAATTGTTCGGAATGAAATGTTCGAAATTGAAAATAAAGCAGTCTCAGTAATACAGATCCTCTTGAAACATGGAGCCGAACTGAATTCTCAAAATTATATCGGACAAACAGTTCTCCATGAAACTGCTGCTTTAGGTTATAACCGAGTCGTTGCCTACCTGCTTTCACAGAACGCCAGTTTCAGTATCGAGGATTATGTTTGCTTCACTCCATTCCAGTTGGCAGCCAATAATGGAAATGTCGATATGATAAAGACCTTGTTAGATAACGGGGATGATGTCAATCGAAAAGGTTGTAATGGCGTCACAGCCTTACACTTGGCAATCAATAGAAACGACACTGATTTTATTAAATATCTTTTATCCAACAATTGTGATCCGAATGTCATGAGCGAAGACGGGCGAACCCCTTTAGATTTAACTTTTGATCCTTTTTCAAAAGACGTTATGAAATTACTTCTTGCTCATGGAGCCAAAGTGGAAGACAACAGCTTCTTGGGATCGAAAATTCTTTTCGATGCGGTTTCAAATAAATCGATAGAAGTAATAAGGCTTCTGTTGGGCAAGAGTAAAAATTTCTACTCCTATCCTACAGTTATTCTTAACCATGCCATTATAACGGGATTTTCAGAAGGATTTAATATGCTCATCTCTCACGGAGCTAACATTGTGGAGAAAGACATCCATGGTAATCTCCCCCTTACATTAGCAGTTATGTCAAAAAGTACTGCGTTCGTTAAATTGATTTTAGAAACAGGATGGAGAAAAATCAATAAGAAGAATTTTCAAACTTTTTTAGATGCAGATTGCGACGTAAAGCTTTTTACATCAAGGAACGACGTTATTCAGATTTATAATGCGACAGCACTGCACGTTGCATCCTACTACAGTCTCAAAGATGTCGTTGAACTGTTGATATCATACGGCGCTACCTTAGATGTGAGAGATAGCCGGAGATATTCTCCACTCCACTATGCCTGTGAGAATGATCATTTCGAAGTTGTGGAACTGCTGTTGAGTTCTGGATCCAACAAAAATCTTGCCGATATCAACGGCACTGCTCCCCTACACATCGTCTCCAGAAAAGGTCTCTTTCTAATAGCTGAATTACTACTTTCCGATCCACCAGCAGCCATCGACCAAGCAGACAACAGTGGATACACTCCTCTTCATTTTGCAGCTATGAACGGATTTCTAGAAATAGCCGAATTGTTATTGGATTATGATGCTAATATGGAAGCTAAAACAACTGATTTCAAAACACCACTTCACTTAGCATCACGCGAGGGTCATAGGGAAATAGTAAGCATCTTATTGGAGGATGGAGCTGAAACAGATGCATCTGACATTTATGGTATGACACCACTACATTTCGCCGCAAGAGAAAGATACTATGATGTAGTTGTGGAGATGACTTTTTTCAATGCTACCGTCAACATCAGAAACCAAAACGACAGCACACCATTACATCTGGCATGCGAATGGAGTACCAAACCCGGAGATGAAACTTTAGATGTTATTAATGAACTTTTATTCAGTGGAGCAGATATCGAAGCAAAAGACCACAACCAAATGACCCCGTTACATATAGCATCTAGAGACAATTCCTCAGAAGTCGTAGAGTACCTACTGGTGAATGAAGCAGACGTATTCAGTAGGGATGCGTTGCTCAACCTACCTATCCATTACGCGGCATCATTCGGGCAATATGACGTAATACTGAGGTTATTGGAGAAAGAAATAACTAATAGCAAAATTGACTCGAGGCAAATTATATCTGTGAACATTAATGGAGAAACCCCTTTGTTCTTGGCTTCAAGAGAAGGGCACACTAAGGTGGTAGCTTTGCTCTTGCAGGTCGGAGTCGAAACTGTTCAGCCTGACATCAATGAGAGGAATGCTTTGCACCGCAGCGCCGCCAGAGGTCACTTCGAGATAGTAAAACTCCTTTGCCAAGCCCTTTTAAATAAAGAAAAACAAGATAAATGGGGATTTACAGGATTAAACTACGGTGCTTCTTGGAAAGGTCACCAGGAAGTTATAGGATATCTTTCGGCTACCCAACTAAACATAACATTATCATATTATTTCAAGAAATCAAATCCTTTGCAATATAATTTCGATAAGCAGATTTCAATAAAGGTAAAAAAGTTACCTGGTATAAAGTCGGTAATACGTTATTCTTTTAACGTAAACAGGGGAAAATTTAGGTACATTTATTCACCTGATGACTAAATTAATATTTTCATTTTTTTCGGAGGAACGCCCCATACAAATAGAGATGGTCACAATAATAAATTATTATGACAGATATAAAAACTAATGTAAATATAACAATTTATTAGGTTACAATGACAAAGTGGGCGGGGTAGTCGAAAGTGCTAAGGCGTGTGCACTGAACCGCCGTTGCCCGGCAACCTGAGATCTAGACACATGATATAAAAATAGCCACGAGTTCGCGTCCCGGTGCCCGAGGGGGTCTTTTAAATCCCCGCTCACACCCCCTGGCCCGGGAAAACCCCGTATAGGCTTAACGGCGAGGAAGGGGAGGACCCAACAAAAAAACATCAAATTGTATTATTTTATTAGGATTTAATTATTTTATTTTGATATTATTTATTTATCTTTTATACTGTGTGATTTCATTTTTGCTGAACCAGTATATAATCTTAGTGTTGTTTATTTTCATTTTCGTTTTGATAATTAGAGTGCCTATTATTTTTTTTGTTTCACTATAATATAATGAATATTTTAAAACATACACGTAGCCATATTATAATTCCGTGTATATTTAAACAAATTAAATAACAGACATATTTTTTTTTGTTTTGTATTTCTTGTAATTAGATAAATGTTCATATTATATTTTTTTGGTAACTATGTATGTATTTAATGATTTTGTTTTGTTTTTCTGGTGTTTAAACGATTTTTGTATATTATATATTTTTGGTAATTTATTATTTATTTAATCTTATTTTTTTGTAATTAGATAAATGTTCATATTATATATTTTTGGTAACTATGTATGTATTTAATGTTTTTGTTTTGTTTTTCTGGTGTTTAAAAGAGTTTTGTATATTATATATTTTTGGTAATTTAGTATTTATTTAATCTTCTTTTTTTGTTTTTCTGGTAATTGAATAACTTAGTGCATTATATATTATTGGCAACTATGTATATGTTTAATGTTTTTGTTTTGTTTTTCTAGTAATTCAATGAATTTATATATTATATATTTTTGGTAAATATGCATGTATTTTTTTTCCTTTTATCCTTCTCTTAAATAGATCTTTTGGCAAGAAATAATCTAAGAAAAAAATATTTGTTCTATTACATTCCGTTTAAATATTAATAAACTTGTTAGGATTATTTACATCCCAATTTTTCAACGAGCAGTCTTGGACTATTTGGTGGCCTTGTTAAGATTTTGCTGCTACTGCCCACGGTAGCGACTGCTGGCAGTTGAACACTGCATTAGTGGAATAGAAAGGAACCTATTATATTTCTTTGGCACTGCTCGGCAGTCTATGTGTGACGTCATATCTAGGCTGCTCATATCTGACCGCTCCTGAAGCAGTGGAGCTGTTGGCGGTTCTAAGTTATGTTATCATATCGGAGCATTGTTGTGATGATAACAGTCACCTTGATACGTTTCATTTCCTTTTATTTTTTTTCAAGTCAGGCAAAATTTAATGAAATATTTTTAAAATTAAAACAAAGCTATAATAAATCATTTTTTACAGGTTGAAGTAACAATATTATTTATTTCACCAAAAGTATTTTACAGAGAAATTCATATATATCTAGATCCAAATGACATTAAATAAATTAAATAATCGAAAAAAATGTTAAATTCAGATAAATATTCAAATCCAATCATTGAAAAATCAATTTATATTCTTTTATTAAAGTGCTGATTTACTGATTACCTATTGATAAAAGGGTAAAATATTGCTCGCTGTGATTTCATTACAAATATATGATATTTATTACTAACCCATTATGTAATAATTACTGTTACTTATCGAACTAATAATTAGTAATAAATTTAAAATCGGAGATAAATCCTCAGTTCTTAAAATAATACTTTATCATCTTATTAATACCATGAATATTTATATTTTATATTCAAAATATTACAAGAAACAATCATTTTGTAGAAGGTAAGGGTTAATATGTGGATAATTGTTAACATTTCATAGTACAGACATAACCTAACCTTGTTATTTAACTTTAACTATCAGAAAAAAATGGCATGTATTAATTATATACGACCGAAACTACGCCATCAAATTGCTATCCTGTCAATACAAATAAAAGCTATTAAGTTTAAGGATAAAATTTTTAATTAAAATTATATCATACTAGAATGTTAAATTGATAAGATTTGGCCGCGGCGGTGAGCAGTTTCAGCGAAATAGACGAGCATGAAACGGTTGGCAGCGTGAAGTAGCGGTCGCTGCCAACCGCTGTTGGATAGCAATTTCGCTGAAACTGGTCACTGTGGTTGTTATAACCTGCCTATAACCTTCAAACATTTCGTTATATCTTCGAAGATAAAAAAATATCTGGTGTGTCCACTCACAGGACTTTCCTACCTATTTCAGAAAAGTTTTTATATCTTTACATAAGTTCATGAAGAAACAAAAAAGAATTGAACTAAATTTATTTTCTTGAAAATTGATCAAGCAAAAGATTTAGAGTACGATTTATTTGATAAATTAAAGCAATGAAACCGGCTTAAGGTAGATCAGTGTAAAAATTTCAATACTCAGTAATATTGCTGATCAAAAACTTTTTGCCATAGCTTAGTTATAGTCAAACAATAATTTCTATTAAAAGTAGAGGAAATAGTGAAGGTTGTGTGATGCGGGCAACAGAGTTTCTTAATTTCACTTAGTCATCTTTATTCTCTTATTCACCCCTTTCTGACACCAGGAAATGAAATCGTAATCTTTCATTGGGAATTGAATCGCTGTAACTTCGTTAATATTTGTCCAAAATGAACGATTTTTATATGGCTTTGTAGGGAATTTAATCTCAGGGGGCTGTGAAACGTATAGATCCGTCGAAAACCGCATGTCGGAAATTTGACTCGATTGCAATGACTATAGAAAAACATGTTTTTCATTTATTGCGCGCAAGCTATTGCGCATGGAGCAACGAATTGCTGGCACAGGCACCAGTAGTCAAAACCCTACAAAATAAAAAAAGAAGCAACAAAATCAGTTCAGTAGTTCCCGAGAAAATCTTGGCACAGACAGACAGACCAATGGCTAAAAATGTGTTTTTCGGACTCAGGGGGCTGTGAAACGTATAGATCCGTCGAAAATTTAGCCATTTTTTTTAATAGTTACTGTCAATAAAAGAGAGTTATTTTTTAAAAATAATCCATATTAAAAGTACTTTAGAGGAAGACGTATATGTACATTGGGCATTTAAGCCCTGCAAAGTGACATCAATGGGGATAAGACCTAAATGATATTAAATACCACTTAATTATACAATGATGTATCCTTTTTAATCAACATCGATAGAGCCGTTTTTGAGAAAATTTAAAAAATGTGTTTCACCGTTGATATGAAGCGGCATTTTACGTTAACCGATTATAAGGAAAAAGTTGTAACATCTGATGCATGAAAAAAAATCTTAAATACACAATTTCACTTTCTTACGACTTTTCTTTTTTTAAGCTAGCATACACTGCTAACATACACACCCACACATGAAGACCATTTTGCAGGACTAATACTTTCACAATATTTACACTTTTATATATTTCATATATAGATAAGTGAAAGTAAAACTCTTACTATGTATTTCATATATAGGCAAGTGAAATTAAAAATAAATAAAAATAAAAAAATACAATAAAATAAAAATAATATTCATTTCTATATTTTTTTAATAGTCTATGAATTTCAAGAAAATTTATAGCTGTTTTATTGTTTGATTAGTTATTGTTTAATATTCCTGATGTATCCAGTCATAGAGATGATCTGTCTAAGCTTTGTTAAGCTATGTTTAATAAGAGCATTCCCGGAAAATATGATTGATGGTGAGATGGTTATAATCACATGGAAGTGGTGAGAGTGGCCATTATATGATACTAACGTCTTTATGTTTTTTGGAAAATAGCTGTCAAGCTTGTGTGAGTAGAGAGGCCGTGAAGGTCAACAAATTTAAAATGTTGTCCGCTTGAACATTCTCGAGTCTAGCGGCATCGGTTTATTCCTAGGAGGGATAAAATTTATTTCATCACTGACATACAGAGCCGATATAAACCTTTCGTTCTGGTTGCAATAGGTAAGGTTATACCCCTAGCACAATCCTCTAATACAATGCAATAACAAAAAAAAAAAACGCTGCAAAATTATTTCACAATGGTTTATTATTTCTAAACAATTATACATTTAAAGTAACATTACCTTTTTAGTTACAAAGAAAAATAAATAAAAGGTGATTATTGGACTAAACTTTTTTTTTTTAATCATTAGTAATATCCTAAAAAAAAAACACATTCAAAATTTAAAAACTAAACAAAGGATATAACATTTGGAGTAGAACATATTAAAAAAAACCGGAGACCATATCTTTTCTCCTAATTGTCCGATTTTAAAGATTTTTTGTTTTTAGGAAATTTCATAAACTTTTAAAAATTCTTTTTTAAAAAAATGTATACTTTTTTCCTCTAAATCGTGTCAATAACTTGGGTGATTTGGCCGACATATAGATTTGACAATAACATAAAATGCGTGTGTAAATGTTCTATTTTTCTAGGAAAAACAATTTTTTTGTTTGTCCCTACCGAACGAATACACAACTTTCCTAACTTTAGATAGTTACTATTCGAAGACCTGCCCTTCCAAAAAAAAAAAAAAAAAAAGAAATGTAGAAAACTAGATAATTACAGTTATGCAAGAATATTTTATCATTTTTTTTTCCTGTTCCTTTAATTTCTGTTGTTCAGACGAACTGTTTTTCTAAACTGTCTTAAGTGTTGTAATATCATCACTAATCATACAATTAATTGAAACCGGTCCACACGTGTCAATTATACTAAAAGCGCAGAAAACACTAATCTGTTTACTTACAAAGAATCGCCAACATTGATTTTATATAAGACCTTGTTAATAATCAGCTAGTAATTTATTCAAGTATGTATCATGTAATTTAGTAACTAAAAAAAAAAACCTATTACTATAACGGAGTGATTATTTATTTATGGTTCATTCTTAAAAACTGTTAGATCGTCTATTCAAACCCATAACTAACCTAGGCTGATATTCTCCTATGCAATATATAGACAAGAGGTCCTCCCGTACATAACGGAAAATGTTAAATATCCAATGATAGCTAAAACAATATTTATTTTAGGTAATTCCTTTACCTGAAGAATGGAAAGAATCTATTCTTATTCCGATTCACAAAAAGGGTCCGAGGACGGATTGTAATAACTATCGAGGAATTTCAATCCTTCCGGTATGTTATAAAATATTTACTTTAATCTTAACCAGTCGAATCACGGAATACGCCGAGGAAATCATCGGAGACTACCAATGCGGATTTAGACGGAATCGTTCGACTATTGATCAAATATTTTCTTTACGGCAAATATTAGAGAAAAAATTGGAGTACAAAGGTATTGTTCACCAGCTGTATATAGATTTTAAAAAGGCTTACGATTCTATTGACCGCCAGAAAATGTATAATATTCTAATCGAGCAGGGGATTCCTAAAAAATTAGTAAATCTAGTCAGGATGTGCTTGACGGAGACACTCAATAAAGTTAGAATCGGCAATAATCTGTCCGGAAAATTTGAGGTTCGTTCGGGTTTAAAACAGGGGGATTCCCTTTCGCCTGTCCTGTTCAATTTGGCATTAGAACATGCCATTAGGGAGGTAATGCGTACCGAGAAACGGTTGGATCTTGGTGGGACAACATCCGTGCTGGGCTATGCTGATGATCTGGTACTGTTAAGCGAAGACCTTGAAACTATAAAACGAAATACGACAACGTTAATGAAAGCCGGTAAAGAACTAGGACTCGAAATAAACGTGGATAAAACAAAATATATGGTTAGCTGCAAAAATGGCAATACTACTGGTGATATCGATATAGATGGTAGTATGTTTGAACAGGTAGATAAGTTTAGGTATCTAGGTTCTACGATAACTAGAAAAAACGAAATTGAAGAAGAAATTAAGGTTAGACTGATGGCGGGAAATGCTTGCTATTTTTCTGTGA